TTAGGGTAGTTTTTTTGATTCATTGAAATATTCAATATCACAACTGGCAATACTGGAGCCTACAGAGTTCAAAGGGTTAAGGTCTTATGGAAAAAGAATTCTTTGAATTTGAGTCATTCGTCGAGTTGAATAATTTTAGGGTAGTTTCTTTGGATCATTGAAATATTCAATATCACAACTGGCAATATTGGAGCCTACAGAGTTCAAAGGGTTAAGGTCTTATGGAAAAAGAATACTTTGAATTTGCCGAGTCATTCGTCGAGTCGAATAATTTTGAGGTACTTTCTTTAAGATTCACTAAAATATCTAATATTATTCGTGTTGCAACATTGTAGCCTACAGAGTTCAAAGTGTTAATTGATTAGCAAGTATCAGCACTCAAACAGTTGAACGATAGAAAAAGGAATAGTTTCATCTCGACAAACATTCGTCGGTAAATTAACCGTCTCACTCGGACCTCTATAAGACCTAATAATCCAACGGACACGTAACTAAACCTCATTATTAAATAATTCATCGACGACCTGCCAATTATAAACAATAACGAGAGCACGACCGTCAAGCCGAACAAAACCAGCCGGATAACAGTATTTTATCCGAAAACGAGCCTCCGACGGCTGAAGTGCCGCGGACATTTCGATTCGCCGATAATTAATCGGCGAGTCGCGAGTAATTCTACAGCGCGGAGTTTATTAATTTCGCCACGGTGACGCGCGAATATCCTCTCGGCCTGTTGTCCGCGGGACGGTCGGGGGCGCGGTGAAAAATCCACGAGCAGAGCAAATTTGCCGGTTGTAATATTTCACGAGGACGGATGGTCTGAAGTCGAAGATAAGCGGAAGTAAAACAGCGGCGAGTGAACTGCTCGTTTTACAATCTTCCGGAGTGTTCTTCTCCGCGGCCGGGCCGCTTCGTTTCCTTCCACCGCCCCCCGCGCCACCCCCGCGCCGCCCCTCTCTCCATCGCGCGAGAAGTCGAGCTTTTTTCAAATGTAAAACGCGACGTTTCTTAAGCAAAGCCATTTAACGTCGCAACGGATTCACGCGGCGACATTTCGCGGCCCGCCTTGAATCACCATTCACGAATTATTTCCGCGGGTTCCCGCGCGAGAGGGCCGCGAGCAATTTTTCAGGAACACCGTCGAACAGTGAATGTCTTATTCAGAGCTGTAATTGCGCGGTGTGCGCCGGCATTTTCTAAAGGCGAGCTTTCTCCGGCCGGCGCTCGCCTCCCCTTGAATCGTGTCAAGATGAATCCGTGCTTCCGGCTTTATAATTAACGCGGATACTCGCGTATTTTCGTCGATCATTGGTGGGATCTTTGTTGTCCGGTTTCAACGGACTAAACCTCCGTTGCGACGACTCCGAACTGGATCGGACGTTATCGTGTTCCCTTTGTGTAACTGATAATTGAGTAGGATGACGGCGCTTAATATGGAACAGCTCCTAATATGGGAGACAATAATATGCGGGGGATAAGCGGCTCGATGCGACAACGATGCGGGACGCTTAATTGGTAATAGATATTAATACTTCGACGGCGATTAAGAATTTGTCATTGGATAAGCGTTATCGTCGCTGATCCTTCAATTTTCTGAAAGACGAGCTAGATTGTTGAATTTCTTAATATATATATAGGCTAGAAGATTGATTACATGATTGCTTTTCAGTATTCATGTTAGGACAACGAGGGGACAATTTTACGACACGGGAATTATTCTTAGAGACGTTCGCGACCATCAACTTTCAGTCCGGTACTTTAGCAGGCCGGCCTGCAGCCAATATGCGGCACATAAGGGTTCAGAAATCAACCATTGGCTAGTTTTTTCACTGAAGTCCAGGTATCGTACAGTCGTTTTACAGAGGGTCTGTTAGAATTTTGGAAAAAGTGTCCTCAAGGATTTTGACCTAATGGAATTTCCCCAGCGTTGCCGAACATTCGTTCAGCATAGCGACCAACTCCGTCGCCTCCGCTCCAGGAAACCCGCGCTACAGGCGGACTGGAAGGGGATGAGACAGGGGTAGGTATCTTGCGTAGGAAGGGATAGGAAAACCGCCCCTGAGGCCCACCTTCGTTTATCGAGAGGGAGGGACTAGGCCCAGGATCAGTATAAAAACCCTTCAAACAGTCAGAAAAAAGATCAGTTTGACGGTCGGTATAAGTATCAGTTCAGAATCAGTTCAGTCAAATTCAGTAGCAGTTCAGTTCAGAGTCAGAAGTAGTTGAGAATCAGCTCAGCTTCGATCAGAATCAGTTTATAATCAAGTCAGAATCAGTTGAGAATCAGCTCAGCTTCAATCAGACTCAGTTTAGAATCAGCTCAGCTATCAGTCAATCAATCATTTAGTCCCAACATTGGGTGGTCCTTCGAAAAACTCAGCATATACTCAAAAGTGCTCGGAGTATTTTACAATTCACTTCATAAATTAGTTTCGTTTACTAATTACCTAAGTGTTCCATATCAGTTGCGCTTGTCGACTAAACCAGTACTGATTGCTGGAATATACACTCCAAAGATATCGAGTTCTTCAACTGAAGTCATTAACAAGTTGAAATTTCGCAATAGATTCGTTCGTTCAAATGAACGATCAGTAACAATTATATCGCCTTGCCAAGAAAGTAATGTGTTTCACTGTGAAAACAGTTTCCAATTTAATTTGTAATTGTTTCACTTAAACAAAGTTACGCGTTCCTAGTAGCCTAAGAGCGCAGCAAAGCTCAAAGGAAACGAGTTATAACATTAGCGGAATAACAAAACGAGCATAACGCTGTTTCAAACTAAAATTACTTCCTTGCCAACCGAATATTTAGCATAACTATTGTAGAACGTACAATCAACGCAACAGCAAAGCTAACCAATCCGACATAAATTCGAGAAAAACGGAGGCCAGGAGCGAGGGCGACACGGAAAACCGATACGACCGGCGCAATTATACGCAGAATCTCGGCTCTCATTACGGTCCCGTTGAAAATCAACGCGCAGCGTTTTGAAACAGTTATTCCCAAGGTTATTTCGATACCTGAATTTCCCGCTTTCGCCGGAGCCACGCCGCAGGAAACACGATTCGCGTCCGACGCGCGTCCCGCGCAAAGTCCAGATAATCGTTCTCGATGACACGCATCGCCGGCCACCGATGATCGGGAACCGCTTTCGCGTTTCCTGTGTGTCTCTATTCACCCGAGCACCGATCACGCTCATTCCGGCCAGGTGTGGTGCGTTTATGAGGCATTGTTGCCTTTCCTAGGTGAATGTCATTCTCCGGAGAGAGAACCGTCGTCGTCGTCGTTGTTGTGGGAACAAGCTGGGAGGAATTGCCAGCGCGATCGATGCTGCTCCGAGATTAGGAGCCGGAAAATTCAATTACCGATCGTTTAGGACCGTTTGATCTAACGTGGACGATTCCGACGGAGTTTCTCGTGTTTCACGGGGTGAACGTTTCTGTTGTCCGTCTCTGGTCGTTTCGTACTCTCAACTCTGTCAGTGATTCCTATCAAGGTAACTATTGTAGTAAGAAAATAGAAACTAATTTACAAATTGGGTAGTTATGATAATAACCGAAAAACTAACTCAACTGTTCAATAGTCCTATCTCCTTCACTATCGCAACCTTAATTTAATTCATCACAATTTCTAGTTCGGTGATCCAAACACATTGTCATATTATCCAGAAGAAAATAGAAACTAATTTACGAATTGGTTAATGATTATACTAACCAAAAAACTAATCCAACTGTTCGATAGTCCTATCTCCTTCGATATCACAACTTTAATTTAATTCATCACAATTCCTAGTTTAGTGATCCTAACACATTATTGTCATAGTATCGAGAAGAAGGTAGAAACTAATTTACAAATTGGTTAGTAATTATATTAACCAAAAAACTAATCTAACTGTTCACTAGCTCTATCTCCTTCGCTATCGCAACCTTAATTTAATTCACCACAATTCCTACATAAGCAAATAGAAACTCCAACAGTTCTATGATGCTCCAATTAACCGTCGTCATCAACAGCTCCGATCACCTTTCACATGACAGACTCGCGTCGCAATGATCGCGCCGTTCCCCTAAAATCCTGATCGTCGAAGGTAACTATTATAGTATCTAGAATTTTTAGCCACAACTGTGCATATTTAATTAATCTAGTATTTAATTAGTCTAGTTATCACAGTCACAGCTACCGCTATTCTATATCGTTCCTACAACTATTATAATAACTATACAACCATTAGTTCCATAGAATCCATCAGAATATACAACCGTAACCAATACAGAAGCGGTTACGAAATCCAGAATCGACAAAGAACCAAAAAATAGAATCGACCGACGAATATTACACGGTGGAAATGGCAGAGCCGGTAGAAAAATCAAAGCCAAAAGCAATACGGATCGCGACCGATACGTTCGTAACGGTCGCGCGTATTTTTTTCGGCTGTAACTGTCTCAGAACGGCGGGCCCATATTATAAACGTTTTCAATCTTCGCCTCGGTGACGAAACGGAATAAAGCAAATGAACGGCGAGCCGAACAATCGACGTGCAGCGTGTCGCTAACCGGTATATAGTACACGAGTCTCTCAACTCGATTATCCCCATAATCGAGTCTCGAAGCGTTGTAGAAATTAGAGACCACGCCGGCTTCTGGTAGAAAACGTCCGACCGGGTCGAATGTATTCGATCGTTCGCCGTCGACGGTCAACGAACCCTCCTCCTCCACTTGTTCTTGTTCCTCCTCTCCTCCTCTTTTTTTTTCGGTGAAAAGAAACGCGAATGGATGACTGGGATTTTATATCGAAGTTATATTAATACATACGCGACCGGGGGGAGAGACCAGAATGACGATACAATAGACCGCGGAGTAGTATTTTCCTCTGTAAACTGCGGATTGCCCGCAGCCTCTGCACGATCGAATGTTTTCAACCGGTGTATTTAAAGAAACGAGGAGTCCGAGGGTATTTAAAGAAAATATTAACGAAATAACACGCGGCTCGGTGTCTTTCAGGAATCGAAGAGCCGGTGCGCGCCGAACTGGAAGCTTCTTCGGTGGCCGGAAACGATCGGAGACAAAGGTGCTCGGAATTAACGTTTTATTCGCACGAAGGTAATTGGCTCTCTGTGTTTCCTATATTATTAACGGGGGCGTCACGTTGTTTCTGTAATAGACGAATCAGTAGAAGCTTACTAGGTTAATTAGAGGAGACCTTTGTTAGGGGATAATAGGAATAAATATGTTAGTATAGTTATGCTTTGACCCTTAGCAGTCATATGAGTCGACATATTTTGTTGCAACCTCTACCTGTAATTTTTTCTGTATTTATTTGTATCACAGTTGTAACATTTAAAGGTAACGTTTCAATGACTATCAAATATTCTTGAATAAATAGAGCGTCATGTTAAGCTGTAATTGAATGAACTGACGTCGACGTTGACCTTTTGCCCTACGATTTATTTTTCAACTACAATTGACACGACTACTTTGCCATTAATAATTTACTGAAAAGAGAGACAAATTTCAGGTATATTTTATGCCTATGTTAACACTTTGAGAAGCAAATAAACATGGAAACTTCTATGCAGTCTAAACAGTTTTCTTAACCCTTTGCGCTCGACTTTTCAATAGAAATATTGTATCGTTTCGTGGTGAGATAAAGATAGGTTTTTGAAACTGAAAGAGAAATGCATTGAGAAAAGCTATTATTTTCAATATTTCTTAAATTATATAGAGTATTATTAAATATTAAATTTTATGGTTTTACTGTATGAAATATGGTGAGTCACCTCTCGAGTGCAAAGGGTTAATAAAAAAACTAAAGAGTCAAGATTACTCTACTACTTTTCTTATATCATTAATTAGGATTAAACTTAGTTCATTCGATGCGTCACTAAGAAAATGAATTTTTATATATAATAAGATCAAAATTTCCGTGGCACGGAACGTGTTAACCGGTTAAATTCCTAACGACGATTTCGTAACAGTCCTCTTACAAAAAAATTATCAAACACCTGAACATAACTAATTATTTCACTTAAGAAATGAATGCAGTCCGTAAGGAAAGATAACCGAAGTTTCCGCGGCACGGAACGTGTTAACTGGTTCTTTGGTACAATAGAATTTTTCGCGTTACAAGTGTCGTCGGTTCGAATGCGAACAATTGAAAGTCACCGCGAGGAACAAGCGAGGGGACACGCGAGTCCCGGTCCGAAAGTTTCGGTACACGGGAAGTCTATTCGAGGTGCGCCGTAATTTATAGCGACGTTACACCGTCCGCGGCTGTGAATTATTCCCGCGACTTCGTGGTCCGCGGCTACTTCGAGGTTACGCACCTCAGGGTCTCGTTCGCTCGTTGTTGTGTTAACTCGTCAATTATCCAGGACCACTTCTTCCCTTGAAACGCTCGCCTCCGCTCGACGGCTTTCAGAATTTTACGCCTCGCCCGCGCAAGCGAATCCTGATGCGACGAAGTTCTTAACCCTTTGAACTCTGTAGGCTTCGATATTGCAGTAGTTATAATATTAAAGACTTTAATGAATCTTAATGAAACTACCCTAAAATTATTCGATTCCTCTAAACTCCGCAATCGTCCCATAGAAAACCAAGCCAAAAATATGGCAACCGGTGACTTCCTATCGTTACAATATTATTAAACCTAATACTCAATCGAACGCCCATTTCATAGTTATTGAAACAAAGCTCTAATCTACCTTTAACCCTTTGAACTCTGTAGGCTCCAATATTGCACCAGTTATAATATTAAAGATTTTAATGAATCTTAATGAAACTACTAGTCAAAACGACTGGTTTCGATTTTTTAGCAATTATTGATATCTTCGAAGCATTGAACATTCGAAATGATTTTGAAAATAAATAGTTTCGTTTGAGAACTATAATGAACGTCTGAAGAAACTGAAAATAATCTATTGTTACAATTTTTATAGGAATTGCATACTAATCGTATGAAATGCTCGGTAGTTCTAGTGTTAAACCTTTGAACTCTGTAGGCTCCAATATTGCACCAGTTATAATATTAGATACTTTAATGAATCAAAGGAACTACCCTAAAATTATTAGATCTTCCACACATCCAAATTTTGTGCTAAGAAAATAAAAAAAGAAATGTTACAGCATTTTTCATTTTCACTAAATACAAATTTTAGGCATTCTATACAATACTCCTCGTTCTTCTATAACACTGACACATTTCAAATACAAATTTTAGGCATTCTACACAATACTCCTCATTCTCTTACACCAATGACAAATCTCATAGTAACCCATTCACTGCTATCATAAAACGTGTGATACTTTCAATTTATTTCGCTTCATACCACGACACATTTCAAATACAACGAAGACTGTACCAAACTGGCAATCCCTCGCTAGTACATTCGCGACTGGCAGTGAATGGGCCAACATTGTTGCTCGAGCCGCCAGCGCAGTAGTAAAGGATAATTAACTAGTGCCGGAACGAGCGAAAAAGAAAGCTCCCCGCTAACGATTCGTCTCGGAATCCTCGGGCACGGTCTCCTCCCGGCTTGCATCCTCTAAAATAGACAGCCCAAGAGAGACTGCCAAGCGGAGCGCGTTCCGAAAACCGAGAATTTTCCACGACGATTCGACGCGGCCGCCGCGACGGTCGACGACGTTTCATCTCATAAGTCAAATAATCGCGCTCGCACGCACGCACGCACGCACGCTCGCTCGCTCGAACTTTGCGTCAACAATTAACACGGCCGGCTCGTGCTCCAGCGGAAAAGCCCGGCCCGTGACGAGTTAAATTTAACGGATTCCCTCTCCCGGTTGCCTCGTCCCTGGGATCTTCTAGCCGCGGCAACCGCGACGAGTATCTCCGTCGAAAATAAAGTACCGAGCGCCGCCCGCGAAATTCGACCGGGAAATCGCGCTGGAGAAGGAGGATCAGCGATCCGACGATCGACGAAGCCTGACCAACCTTCGGGAACTGAAGTTTCGGAACAGGCGTCGGCCTCTTCGCGCGGAACAGGGAATAACGGTGCGTTTACACCGAACGAATCGATAGAATTTCACTTCTCGATGACCACTATCGGCGACTTTGGATCTAGAAGGTAAGCTTAACCCTTTGCACTCTGGAGGTGACTCTCACCACTTGATTTCCTATAGTGAAACTATGGAATTTGATATTTAATATTATACTTCATATAATGCATCAATTTGAGAAATATTGAAATAAATAACTTTGTTCTTCAATGTACGTATGATTTCTCTTCGAGTTAGTTTCAAAGAATATCATCTCGTCAGAAAACATTAAATATTCCTAATAAGAAGCTTTCTGAGTGCAAAAGGTTAAGAAAACTGTTTCGACTACATGGGAGTTTGATGGCTAAAATTGGCGACTTTGGATCTAGGAGAAGGTAAGGTTAACCCTTTGCACTCTGCAGGTGACTCTCACCACTTGATTTCCTATAGTGAAACTATGGAATTTGATATTTAATATTATACTTCATATAATACATCAATTTGAGAAATATTGAAATAAAATAGCTTTGTCCGTCAATTCACGTGAATTTCTCGTCGAGTTGGTTTCACGAAATATCGTCTTCATCTCATCAGAAGATGTTGAAATATTTCTAGTGAGAAATTTTCGAGCGCAAAGGGTTAACACTGGAACAATCGAGTCGAACATTTCCAAATTTGTGTATGGGAACTCTAAGATTACTGCTATTAAGGTTTGAATTGACTTGTGATTCGGTTTATTGCTAAATCAATTTCTTTGGAAATTCCTTTAGTAATCGATTTCTCTGGTAATTCCTTTAGTAATCAATTTCTTTAGTAATTCCTTTAGTAATCAATTTCTTTAGTAATTCCTTTAGTAATCAATTTCCTTAGTAATTCCTTCAGTAATCAATTTCTTTAGTAATTCTTCAGTTATCTTAACCCTTAGCACTCCAGATGGTTTTGTAATCTATCAGCAACTGCATTAGTTTTTATAGTATCCATAGCGAAAATGAAAAATGCTATAGCATTCCTTCGATCTTTTATTTTCCTTAGTGCAAAATTTGGATTTGTAGAAAATCTAATAATAGGGTAGTTTCTATAAGATTCATTAAAACATCTAATATTACTCCTGGTGCAATATTGGAGCCTACAGAGTTCAAAGGGTTTTCCTTAGTGCAAAATTTGGATGTGTGGAAAATCTAATAATAGGGTAGTTTCTATAAGATTCATTAAAACATCTAATATTACTCCTGGTGCAATATTGGAGCCTACAGAGTTCAAAGGGTTAATAATTGGGAAAGAACGTAAGAACCATTTAGACCCACCTGACTAGTGTGAATATCAAAAATCTAGTCTCCTCAGTTTATATAATAATAATATGCATCCTACAGAACCACGATCAATCAATAACCAATTCACTCAAAAGCAACGAATGATCCAATCTCCGTCCGTTTCTCTAACCCAAGCGTCCAGAAAGTACCCAATAAATATAAAATCCAGTATCAGATATACCAACGAACAAATTGCAATTGGACAATTGCTGAAACTCGTCCAGCGTCCCGAAATCGCGGGCGTTTCGGCGTAAACGCAGCATAAGGTAGCGGCCGAAGGAGAAGAGGAAAGATGTCATCAACCTCCGAACGCGAAACGCGCGGGCCGCGCGCGTACGCTGACTAACTGTGCAAAGTTTAACCCTTCCCCCGGTCGGTTCGTGGAACCCGCCACCCACCCCCCGGGTTTCTGCACGGAGAAATGTCGCGTATGCAAATCGGCCGGCGGCCGTGTAGGTGAACGGTCAGCCGGACGGACACAGGGAGGAGGCGACCGGGGACGGTTTTTTCCTCGCTCGGACGGAAACTGGAACGCGCGTGCACCCGAATACGTT